TATATATATATATATATATATATATATATATATATGGAGCAGTGTCACATGCTTGTCAGGAGGTCTTGGAAGTGGGACCCAAACCAGTTGACAGAAGAACATGCTCAAAAGAGTTTTAAACTAACAAGTCTTTCATTTTTTCAGGTGCACGACATCAACCAAACCACACAAACCACAAGAACAATGGCAGACATATTTCCTATATAGAGGTGGAACTAAATTGGAAGAAACCATGTTTTGAAAGGATGTGCAGCTGCAAAATAACAAGAAAAAAAAGAAAATTTGTTTTATATGAACAGCTAATTAAGAAATACTTTAACCAATAAATACAAAAATCAAATATTTCAATTCAATCCAAACAAATACTCTTAATATAGAAAACACCATACAGGAGATCAACCTCTCCCCTTTAATTCTCCAATGGTGCAGTCCTCCGAACACCTGTTTGGAGAGTGAAACAGACGAGGTGAGTATTATACAATGAGTTTTTGATATTTTAACTTTACAATTCATGCGTTTCTCTTTTACGAAGAGTAAAACAGAAATAAAATATTGTGAAGTGAAATCAATTTACCTTTTTGCAAAAATGAAAACAAGATGTGGCCTACCAAAGCAACCACATCACAAACAAATCCACTGCACCCAAAACAACAAAAATAAACCAATCGACAAAACCAGAATCTGTGTTTAACTGTTATTTTAGCCAATGTACAGGTAACAATGGCTCAATGTTATGAGCGGACAGTGTTAAGGAATGGATAAGAAGGTTTTAACTTAGTCATTTAAAAGATTTGAAAGTGCTAAAATGTAGCTTTTTCATGTATTTTCAATTTAAAAAAATAGATTAAGATAAAGGTGTTTAGATATATTTTCTGTAATGTTATAGGTCTAACAGCAAACTGGTTTGGGTTTCTAATCTCCAGTGATGCAATGCCAGAGGAGAAGAAATTTGTTGTATCTGCTGAGCAATTTCTGTCATTAGAGAGTTAAAAGCTAATGAGGACTTAAATTGAAAGAGCGAATATTTGACCTGTTCTTGCCTCTCAAACAGTTGACAATGTTCTCAGACTTCGCCCTCAAGTATGTTTTTGTCTTGAAAAAGATACTTGTGAACATCTCTGATTAATGGAGCCTAGGCGGAAGTTCAACTGAATAAATTATTA